TTGCTGAAATCATTTTCGATAAAAACTAACTTAACCCTCTGTAAGCCTAACATCTTTTTACTCACTTTCGCACCTACTAGGGCAACATTTTTTGAAAAGTGCCAATTACTGAGTCATCAATGTAGTGTAATATAATAATAATATAAATAAAAACTATAAAATGAAATAAAAGTGAAAATATAAACAGTCCAGAATTTTAATTTCAAACTTTTGAGTGAATTTTTTCTTCTTTTTAGTAATTTTTAAGGATTTTTAAGGTTTTTAGATAATTTTTTGTTAGTTTTAGGTCAAAAAATCCTAGCCCTGTTATTCAATATTATGTAAACAAAACTCACCCTATGATAATAAGGATATATTTAATATTTTTTTAATGAATTTAGTTGTAAGAAGGTTGAAGAGGTTTTGCCGTTTTAATATTTTTTTTTTATCCTACATTTATAGAATTAGATGACGAATTTCGATGATGGGTCAGGGTACATACATATTAGTCCTTAAAAATATGTATTTTTCAAAAATAACTACTGGAAAATTTCAAGGAAATAGTTTTAAAAGGAAATTTTCAATACCTACTAGTCCTTGTTCACCAAAAAATTTGTTTTGCGAGTAGGTATATTGATTTTTGTGTGTGTAAAATTGACTGCCGTCTATAGGGTCTGGCTGGACCCGATAGCTACGAATGTGATGTTAACAGAAAAACATCCTTTTAAAAGGAAATTTTCAATACCTATTAGTCCTTGTTCACCAAAAAATTTGTTTTGCGAGTAGGTATATTGATTTTTGTGTGTGTAAAATTGACTGCCGTCTATAGGGTCTGGCTGGACCCGATAGCTACGAATGTGATGTTAACAGAAAAACATCGTTTTGACTATTCTGATCCTAGATACGAAAAAATAAAGCCCTACGCAAACTCGTAATTTTTTCAAAAAAATTTATGATGCGGCACCACTGTGCACCGCACACTAGTTGTCATTTCGGCGGATCCAACTGAGGGTAAACTGAGGCCGATTGAAAAATCTTGTATGTATTATGGATGTTGTTGCTTTTTTATTTTGTTTTTAGAGCAGTGTATTTTGTATTTGTGTGCGCGTTGTTGTGAAGGGTCAGTGATGAAGTGATGAGTTTCAATTCAATCAGTGGCATACACCCTACTTGTCGACCTTGAGCAGCATTGCCTAACTAAATGAATATGTTTTCTTGTTCAGGCAACAAAAAGTTCACACCACAGACAATAACAACAGTTTTGGTAGGGGACATTCAGTAAATGGGGTGAAACATTTGACATCTGTTGGGATAAATATCTCTTATTACATTTGTTTTGCCGATCGTTCGCGATTTACTGACACTCGAATGCATGGCTGAGGGTGACTCAGGTTCAGTCATTGTGGTGGTTGGTGATACTGAATCGAGTTTCGTACAATAAATCGAAAATAACTTTTAATTCACTTATTTTATTACATATTTAAAAATAAACTGACCAGAAGAATGAAATTTTTAGCAATTTCTTGGAAAATCTGTATGTGCGTGGTACATATGCCATTGACTTTAGTGATAAGTGCTTGTTGGAAGATGATAACTTTAAATAAGTGTAGGCAAATTTTCATGAAGTGTGAAACTCTTCTCTACAAACGTTTTAGCTAAAAGCTACGATGCCACGAGATTGTTGAGTGATTGTGCTACTAAGTATAATTCGTGTGAAAAGTATTGTTAGCCGTGCCAATGGTCAGAGTTCTGAGCCCTTTGTTGAAACTTCCAAGGTTGAAGTTTTTCAGTTTTTTGAACTGCCAATGGTCAGAGTTCTGAGTCCTTTGTTGAAACTTCCAAGGTTGAAGTTTTTCAGTTTTTTGAACTGTATCGATTTTTTGGACTTTGAACCTTTTTCGGACTGGAAACTTTTCGGTTTGGAAATTTTTCGAACATCAAAAATTTTTCGAACATTGGAAATTTTTCGAACATAGGAAAGTTTTCGAACATTGGAAATTTTTCGGACTTCGGAGTTTTAAATTTTTCACAGTTTAGAAATTTTTGGGATTGTGGACTTTGAAAATTTTACTGACTTTGGAAATTTTTCGGACCTTGGAAATTTTTCAGACTTTTGGAACTTTTCGGACCCTGGGAAATTTTCCGGAATTTGGTAATTTTTCGGGCTTTGGTAATTTTTCGGGCTTTGGTAATTTTTCGGGCTTTGGTAATTTTTCGGGCTTTGGTAATTTTTCGGGCTTTGGTAATTTTTCGGGCTTTAGTAATTTTTCGGACTTTGGTAATTTTTCGGACTTTGGTAATTTTTCGGACTTTGGTAATTTTTCGGACTATATTAATTTTTCGGACTTTGGTAATTTTTCGGACTTTGGTAATTTTTCGGACTTTGGTAATTTTTCGGACTTTGGTAATTTTTCGGACTTTGGTAATTTTTCGGACTTTGGTAATTTTTCGGACTTTGGTAATTTTTCGGACTTTGGTAATTTTTCGGACTTTGGTAATTTTTCGGACTGTGGTAATTTTTCGGACTTTAGAAAATTTTTAGGACTTTGGAAATTTTTCGGACTTGGGAAATTATTTGGACTTTGGAAACTTTTCAGAGTGAAAATTTTTCGGACTGGAAATTTTTCGGACTGAAAACTTTTCGTACTTCGGTTGTTTTTCGGACTACGGAAATTTTTCACAATTTGGAAATTGTTTGAACTTTGGAAATTTTTTTTGGACTTAGGAAATTTTTTTGGACTTGGGGAATTTTTCGGGCTTTGGATATTTTTCAGACTTTGGAAATTTTTCGGACTTCGGAAATTTTGCGGACTCCGTAAAATATCTTAACTAGCATTGTATTGTTTTATTTTAGTTTAATCTGGTATATAGAAAAAATCGTGTTTTTTTTCTGCACACTTTGCTGGCTGGCACACCTTGACCACGAATTAGACGCTTTGTCGGCGAATGCAACATGCAATTATATTTCAAATATTAATAATTTCTTTTTACCAGTTGGCAAAGGCGTTTTTATTTGCGGTTCAATGGCTTTTTTGTTTTGCTTATTTTTCCTCACTTTTTAATTTTAATTAAAATGGAATCACAAAATCCAATTTCCTATGCGTTGGTGTTATTTTGGGTTCCGCTTCGTTGCCAGCCGCAGTCAGCCCATAACGCACGCGAGCGCGAGTGTGGCAGCTTTAGTTATAATCAGGTGAAAAACAGCGTATACATACATATGTATGTTTATTTGTATGGCCGTAAAAGGTAGGCGCAGTGCTGAAAGTTTCAGAGTACTGAGCCGCGCGTTGCTTTCATTTGTTTTGAGCCATGGCGTTAATTCCCACTGGGTTGACTTTTGCGGTGTTGGAAGTGTTAATGCGCTTACATACATATGTACATAACTAAATAAATACATACGTACAGATGTACAAATGTAGTAAGTATAATAAATTTTACATACTAAGTATACATTAATAGGCGCTGCTCATCATGCCACATTAGTGGCAGAGATAGTGGAGGTTGTTCTCTTAGGAATTCATGGGTGGTGTCGACGTCGGCATCGGCATAATAGGCGCCGACACATTTTGAGCAAAATATCATCAGCTGTTTTTTTGCGCTTTGCCACTCGCCCGTGGGACATGTCGTCAAACCAATTAAGAACTGACAACTCAATTCCAACTTGTCAACAGCGTGGTAAAGTGTTGTGCAGCAAGTCCAGAGCGAGTTTGCCCCCAAAAAACACGTTTTATGTGTGGGTGCGGATATGAATTTTCGCTCGCTCGCTTTTTATGTACAATATGTTTGTTGCTGGCTCTCTCTTTTTCTCAATGCATTTGTAGTGCGTGAAAAGGTTGCCAACTTTGTTTTGAAATATATTTGTTTTTGAGGTTGATTTAACCTCTTATTTTGTATAATTAGCTGCTATAGTCATTTGGACCTAGTTGTGCACATCAAGAATTTTTATTTTTACAGCAAGACTTATATTTTTCCAAAAATTCGAGGAAAGAACTATATGATGTCATATTTGTGGATAGATGCTTTATGATAGACACCGCTTAGTCTTTTGGGTAGCCTATTGCCATTAACTTGTTGTCTGACATATCAACCTTGGACTTCTTTGGTTTGACGGTTTCTTGGCTTCTAGTATATTGTGGTTTATCCACACGGTTACGAAACGCGGCGAAACTTTCTTTGGGATAGCGGGTGGACATCACACGGTTCGGCTTACGGTGTGTGCAATCACGTCATATATCGCGTCTATATCTTTTTATGTCCAAAACTTTATGTGGAATGAGATGCCCCTTCTCAGTTAATAGTTTCGATTATGGGGACTTCCGATAGTAATTGTCAAGCCTTCCCATGGTTTCGGTGATTGTTTTTTCGCTAAAGATAATGTTTGATGAGCATTTAAAACTCACCTTTCTCGGTTTTTGTAAAAATTCAGGAGATTGCTTGTTTTAAATGGCTGTTAAAATGCAAACTCAATAACGTGCCTTGCTCAAAATTTGATAGTTGTCTATTAATAGATGTTAGTTGACAGGAGCAGAATTGACTTAGACCAAAACCTGTATTCCTAGATCCAAACACTAACTAGTTGGTGTGGCACTATAATAGTAGTTACAGGCATACTTACTGCTCATTGCCAATCTTTATCGTACATGCGTAGCAATTTCAATATAATAACCCGCCTAGATTCTAATTCTACAACAGACCAAATTTTACATCATAAAGTATGCGATTGCAACTCTGTCAAATAATAGTTGCATTACTCTTATTTCTAACCCAGATTGTGCAATACTGCACTGATACAACACCCACTACCACCACAAACCCACTTCCGCCATGCACAGCCTTCTGCCGCCAGCTGCTGCTTTTCTCATTTAGCCGCTCTCACTACTGCCACAGCAAATCTTAAAACACTTAGTGGTGTGTGTGCACGCTCCGCTCTTCCGTTTTTGCCATTCTCTCTTGCCGCTGAGATTCAGGTTGCAATACTGATTTGTTTTCCTTTCATTCTTAGTTTAGCTGCGACTAATTCACGATATCCTTTGCGTAAACGTACGCGTAACTGTGCAAAAGTTAAGTTATAGATAAATTTGCAACTGTATAATTATATTAAAAATTAATAAATAAGTGCAAAATATTTAGAGTAAATAAAGTGCGCGTATGCCGTTTTAACATTTCAATTTTCACTTTCATCGACTATCTAATTCGCGTTATCTGCTAATGCGTTGCACAAATAAAAGTAGCTACTTAAAAATGTGCATTTGTAGCTGATATAGACATCGCCTCGCTAGTTAGCTGGCCAGTACAAGAGTGATAAAACTAATCGTGCTAATGTGCTTCAGTCCCCCGCCCATTTGTGGGCATTTCTCCAACATCACGCTTTGTTGTGCTGTGCGCTAAATGAAGTGTAACACAAAGGCGTTAAGGAAAATAATATTTTTGATATTTTGCGTTTTTCTTTCATATTCGCTTAGTTCGCGTAGCTTAACTGTTTTGGATTTCACCGGTTAAATATTTGATGGGGGGGCTTTTCTTCATAGCTACATAAATATATACATACATACATACATATGTACTTACGCTCTACGTACTCTGTCATTCGCCTAATTAATTAGTTAAGAGGTGTTACAGTCAAAACATCAAACAGCTGGGGGTGTAGCCACTTAGTTCATTAGTGTGAGTGGAATGTAACTTCGGTTCACTACCGATTGTTTTACTAAATAAAGGGTGTTACATTTTATTTTGTTATAATTTTCTTATATGGCAAATTTTTATTAAAAACGAATGAAAGCACTCTAATGTTTCTATAACGGTTAACAAGTTCTTCGGTGTAACTTTTCGATCATATTTTGTTTTATTTATCGTCTTGTTCGATAAAGGGCTGTTTTTAATGGTCTGATTATGCATACTTCGCACAACACAAGAAATGGAAAAGAATCAGTTTGCAGCCCTCAAGAAAAAAATGCTCGTATATTTATTTCTTCAAGAAAATTTACAGAAAAAGCAAAGTACTTTTTCAAGCAACAGAAACAAAGGAAAATATTTCTTGTGATTGTTCTTGAGAGGTTGATTGTAAGCTTTAGACTTAAAACTTTCAGTTATCGTTATCGATACTTTTTCGATTACTATTAATCTAAACGTTTTCCATTATTTTTTATCGATACTTTTTCGATTATTTTTAATCGGCTTTTTGTCCATTTTTTTATCGATGTTTTTCGAATATTGTTAAATTAAAGTTTGCGATTATTTTCCTGCGACAGTAGATATACATATGTAAAAATAATCGAAAAATTATTTTTAATCGATATTTTTAGATTATATTATATTGTTTTTTTTTTTATTATTATTTTAATCATGTTTTTCTCCGTCTTTTATCGGCGTTTTCGAATCTTTTATGTACGTATACTATATATTTTACATAATGTACATATAACAAGTAATTTTTAGCAAAAAAAAGCCGACTTCAACTCTCATATAAAAAAAAAAAAATATATATATCTCATGATCCACTGATCGGATCTTAACCTTAGTATGGGACCACCTCTGAGATACTACCTTTCCGATGCAAAAAGAATTATCGAAATCGGTTGCCGTGTTCCAAAGTTATGCGGTAACATACATAAAAATAAAAATAAAAAAATATTCCGACGAACTGATAACCTCCTCCTTTTTTGAAGTCGGTTAAAAATAATCTAGTAATAATCGCTAAAGTTATATATATACATATGTAGTTTTGATTTAAGTCTTTTTTTTTGTATCTTAGAATAAGAACCTTATCATTTCTGGATTATTTGCATAACAACGAACTTTCAGCATGGTCCGCATAGAAAGTGTAATCGTGTTGAATTTAAAGTTAAAGTTTAATTTTTTTTTCTGACAGCTTTTGCGGGTTTTTTCATATAAAAAGTGCAATTTATAAAAACTGGCGTCGATTTTATAAATTTCTTTGCAAACGGTATTCCGCATTTTCTTCCATATGAAATTCATGCTTGTAATATACATATGCAAAAAAGTGCAAAAAACCGTCACAAAAAAATCTCAAAATCAACGTGATTTTGCAGCCGCTTAAAATTTATAATAAAATTATTTTAAAAAAAATTCTAAAAAAAATGTTAATGAAAATTTGTTAAATTTCAAGTTCTGTATAAAGTTTGAAAGTTTTATTTATATGGTTTTGGTCGAAGCATGAACCATATTTTTATGAAAAAATAACAAAAAATTTTTACTTTAAAAACCTTGAAAATATTTAACAAAAATCACCGTGCACTCATCACTGCTCGCCACTGTACATATCGCACGTTTAATAGTATGTACAGAATTATTTTAAATTTATGGGAAAACGCAATCAAAGTTTGATGAGTTCATACAATTTGTATAGCAAAATCCAGATGGAAAGACACATATCTTCACCTATTTTGGGTAGCTTAGTCATGTGCTAAGCTTAGTACGTTCTCCTTATCAATTCTATTAAAGTTATGTTGAAATTTCCAAAAACCTAAAGTTTGAATTACATAGCTATATTATTAAACGTGGTGCAATAATTTTTAATTTTTTGTTTTGAATAAAACCTAAATTTGGCTCACCCTGTATCGCCATTGCACCTGCGTTATTTGCCTTTCGTTTTCCCTTGCTAATACCTCAAAATCTCCTACTTCTCAGCTATCACGACAGTTATTTGTTTAGCTTCGGTTAGTCGCTCGGTCGGTCAGTCGTTCAGGCCATTTGGCTGGTGGGCTGGTGGGCTAGCCGTTGCATCCAACTCGCCAATCTGCTAAAACCAACCCAACAGCCATTCAACCCAATCCATCATACCCAAATGTCCGCCGTGCATCACACCCAGTCGCACTAGCTTAACAAATTCGTTCACTATTCGCGGGTCAAACGGTCGTAGCTTCGCGTCGCATGCGCCTCTGCCTGTTCGTTGTAAAAGTTTTTAGTGTGCAATTTACAGTTCAACATTAAAAAAAAGTTGTAAAACAATTAAAGTAAAAAAGGACAAAAAACTTAATTTCAATGTAGAAAACTTATGCAATAAAAAAGACACTTTTTAGCGATAATTGCAACAGCGTATAAAAAAAAGGTGGATAGACGACCTAAAGGTGCAAGAAGTGAAAACGTTTTGTATGTACACATACCACTATGCACATATATAAAATATTTTCGAGCTTCACGTCAATTCAATTGTCACCGAGAATAGCACTTACTAAAGGCGATTGCCACCAACATTGAAGTGTAAGAAAAGTTGCTCTTCCGTTGAATAATTAACGCGGATAAAGTAAGGCAAGTGAAAAAAAAACGAAATATTTACGTACAATTTAAACTGAGAAAGTAGAATATTTAGTTGTGCGTATGTATGTATGTATGTATAAATTTTGTATATGTATTTTGTATTTGCGCAAATCTCTAAAGTAAATATTTATGTTTTGGTTGCTGCAAGGTGTGTACGAATGGGACTTACGTTTGCATGTATTTTTATACAGTGGAAACAAAGGAAATTGCAACTTACAAAACTATCAAAATAATTAATAAATGTAGACTTTGGGTTCTGTTGTACTTTGCATTAAGTATTTAGATTAGATTTGATATCCTAGTTACCGCGACCGAGAAAGGATCTATTGTAACAAATCTCCATTTGGCTACAGGCCTTCTTTGATCCACGCATTACTAAGGAACCTCGGGAGGTACATAGTTTGGCTGAATGCCATTTACGTCGTGTGCTTCTAGTTACTGTGATCCTAGGTAGCGAAGTCTGGTTCTAATGAGTGCTTTACAGTGGCACATAATATGATCTGCTGTTTTCTGTTCTTCGTGGCACAACCTACACTGATCAGAGTTAAAAACTTTGTTTAAAAAGTGTTTCGGCCCTCCTTCTCGATATTTTCGGAATGAAGAACTTAGCCTGTCTGTTTGCTTTCACATTTTGTCCAGCAATTTTGCGCTTAATTCTTCATCCAGATAAATTACGGGTAATTTCGCCTAACAAAGCTCCANAAGACACTTTTTAGCGATAATTGCAACAGCGTATAAAAAAAAGGTGGATAGACGACCTAAAGGTGCAAGAAGTGAAAACGTTTTGTATGTACACATACCACTATGCACATATATAAAATATTTTCGAGCTTCACGTCAATTCAATTGTCACCGAGAATAGCACTTACTAAAGGCGATTGCCACCAACATTGAAGTGTAAGAAAAGTTGCTCTTCCGTTGAATAATTAACGCGGATAAAGTAAGGCAAGTGAAAAAAAAACGAAATATTTACGTACAATTTAAACTGAGAAAGTAGAATATTTAGTTGTGCGTATGTATGTATGTATGTATAAATTTTGTATATGTATTTTGTATTTGCGCAAATCTCTAAAGTAAATATTTATGTTTTGGTTGCTGCAAGGTGTGTACGAATGGGACTTACGTTTGCATGTATTTTTATACAGTGGAAACAAAGGAAATTGCAACTTACAAAACTATCAAAATAATTAATAAATGTAGACTTTGGGTTCTGTTGTACTTTGCATTAAGTATTTAGATTAGATTTGATATCCTAGTTACCGCGACCGAGAAAGGATCTATTGTAACAAATCTCCATTTGGCTACAGGCCTTCTTTGATCCACGCATTACTAAGGAACCTCGGGAGGTACATAGTTTGGCTGAATGCCATTTACGTCGTGTGCTTCTAGTTACTGTGATCCTAGGTAGCGAAGTCTGGTTCTAATGAGTGCTTTACAGTGGCACATAATATGATCTGCTGTTTTCTGTTCTTCGTGGCACAACCTACACTGATCAGAGTTAAAAACTTTGTTTAAAAAGTGTTTCGGCCCTCCTTCTCGATATTTTCGGAATGAAGAACTTAGCCTGTCTGTTTGCTTTCACATTTTGTCCAGCAATTTTGCGCTTAATTCTTCATCCAGATAAATTACGGGTAATTTCGCCTAACAAAGCTCCATGGCAGATCAATAAAGCGTAAATAATATCTGCCACTTCATTGCTCATGACTCCACTGTGACGCACTTTGTGGTGTCCTCGTGCGCCTTAAGAGTGAAAAGCGCCGCTCTGCTGTCCGAGTGTATGTAGATGTGTTTGCTGGTTGCCTCACTTTCTACTTACTGCCTCAGGCACTGTTCAGTGACATGCACTTCTTACTAAAAAAACAGAACTACCTCGCCCCTTACTGGTGAAAAGGAGCCTTCTGGGTTGTGTGCCGTACACTCCAGCGCGATGCCGTAGTCATTGTTGGATCGAAGAATTCCTAGGTTTTTCACAAGACGAAAGAATTTCCCGTTCATTGATTATATGTATCTAGGGGCACAACATTTAGAGCAGCATTAAGTACCAGAGTAGAAAAGTGGTTGGAAGTACCCCACTTATTCCAATTAAGGCAGCTCGTTGCACTCTTCCCAGCTGTTGGACGAAGAAAACCGTGCCTGGTGCGTTCCACCAGACGTGTTTCCAAGAAACAGAGGGTGTTCTCTGAGAGCCCTAGAGGTGGACCGCCCCTTGAGGGTAGACGGTAATTCGGTATCCCTTATTACTTTCATTATACTTTTTTACACGCTTTTATTTATATTTGATCTTTATGCACGTTTGCATATCTTGCAATAAATTCTTGACTAGCTTCCCCATAACCTAGAGACTTGAAACTTTACAGTTGGCACAGAACCCGATGACAATACAATACGAACGATGAGTTAAGCCGATAGGTGGCGCACGAGTCGATAAATTTGGTAAACCAGTATTTATGGTTCGATTTCGTTCAAATTTAGAAAGTTTGCTTTAAAAATATTTTTTTTACAATTAACTTATTTTTCAAGTTTTTTTTTTGCTCTGTGCTTAACTCTTCACGAATTTCGACTAAATTTCATGGCCTCTACTCCCCCGTATAAATGGTTAAAAACATTGCTCTAGAGATTTTTTTCACAATTTTTCGTTTCCTTTTTGTCTCAATAATCCAGCACCTCTTTCCTGACAACTGGAGCTTGCATTCAACGTTGTTGTGAATTGTTTGCCGTTGGCTGTTTCTAAAAACAAAGCGCCTCAGCTAAAATAGGCGCACTTCAAACGCTTTTTTCGGCATGCATTTAGTAATTCTTTCAGCTTTTTTTTCACTCTTTACAACTCAAGTACCATTGTCATCTTCTATCTGGCGTATGTTAGAATATAAAAACAATAAACGCTTGAGCGAAAATCAATAGAAGCTGATGCCTTGTAAGTGGTGTTTTTGTTTTTTGTGTGTATGTAGTTCAGCGACGAGGCAAAGCGCCAATAACAACTCATCCTTCTTCTGAAGCGTGCGTTTATTTTTATAGGACACACAATATTTTTTATTTGTTTTTTAATTTAATTTTTTTTTTGTTTTTTTTTAGTGCGCCTAACAAGAGAGTTCGCTACACAGTCTCTTTTGTTTGCAATAAAACTTTTTGCTATCACTCATACACTTTCTTTCAATTATGTTTTCTTTTTTTTCATAAAATTGTGTCAAAACTAATTTACAAGGACTGTCTCATCGATTGCGTTGGTGTTGTTGACGTGGCGTAGCGTGGTGTGTAGGTACCGTGGGGCGCGTTGCCTGATTCAGTAGTTCCAGCCCACACACTTGCATTATTTAGTACGTCCCGCCTAGTCATTAAAAAGTGCTCAAATTACACATAGATTTTTTACTTTTTTTTTGTTAAGTATCGTTTTTGATTTGAGTTCGCTGGTGGGTGGGTGCGAAAGCGAAGGAGTGTCGCACCAATTGGCGGCAAAATTTACGAGGCGTTGTGTTGAATGCGAAGTAAACTAAATTGTTATTGCCTTTTTTGGTTATTGTTAAAGAAAAGTTTTTTAATTATGATTTTTTCTTGGAGAGCATTATCAGATAATGCTTTGCAATAAAAAGTATATAATCAAATTGAAATAGATTGAAATTCTTTAGAAACTTTTATTAAAATATATCCCTTCTTTGTTATTTCAGGTCGAAGCTGGTGATATTATTTTAAAAGTAAATGGCACTGATGTTCATCGATACACAACGAAAGAGGGTAAGTCTGATATACGGTTTTTTCTTTGAAATATTGATGGGTCCATAATTAATTGATTGCATTCAAATAAGTTTTATTTCATTGCTTTTTTGAGTTTTTTTTCACTTAAAAACATTCATTTTCTCACTAGTTTTGGGGTCGACTGATATTTTAATAAATATTTTCTCAGGCAACCTTACAGAACATTGATGTTCATTTTGCGAATTTTAGTAGTAGACACTTTGTGGCCCTTGGTCGCTTGCCGATTGTATGCCCTGTGGCTGAACTTTACAAAGTACTTAGTGCAAGTATTTGCCTGCCGAAAACTGGACACTCACAAACTTTGTGCTCCAATTTTTCCCGCGATATTTGTACACGTTTTGTGTCCCACTAAACTTCGGGGATGAGCTTAACTTTTCTCTTGAGGAATACGCCTCAGTATTCCAAGCCGAGGTATTTGCGATCCTCATGCCCTTGTTGGGAAATATAACGAACTTGTTTTACTCTGAGTGTCAGGTCACTCGGGAGTACCTGGTTATGGGGCATTCGACCATTTGGCCAGAAATGATTCAGACCAGGCATTCCTCGGTCGGCAACCTGTTATAACAATTAAAAGGAATATGAAAACAGTACAATGGACGAAATTTAGACTCATTGCTGTTTTCCTCACGCGTTGTTTTGCGTATTTAGTTCCGACCAAAAAAAAAAAAACGTGCACTAATATCTACCCCTTAGAACAGTATTGGTCTAACAATTACCGGGATTATCCGAATTACTTTGTGCTCGGCTTTGGTTGCAAAGTGTTCTCGCCTAATTTAGGTCTGTTCCACACTGGAATCTTGTATTTCCTAGTGAGAAGTGCCAAGTCGGTACCACTTCCGTAGCATAGTTCGTTAGGGTATGCCAGAGCTGAGGCTCATCAGACTTTGTCGCTAGTAATGACTGAAACGTNTCTGGAATCTTGTATTTCCTAGTGAGAAGTGCCAAGTCGGTACCACTTCCGTAGCATAGTTCGTTAGGGTTTGCCAGAGCTGAGGCTCATCAGACTTTGTCGCTAGTAATGACTGAAACGTAGTCCACAAAAGCTGTTATAATAGCTCCTCCTTCTTCGATTTTCATCAATAGTTTGGTAACCGCGAGCGTCCATAGAAAGGGTCATAGCAGTCGTCCTTATTGTGTACCTCTATGTTCGTTTCGCATGACCTCATTCAAGCCATCTTAAGCCGAGATCTTCCTATAGCCTGTTTTGAGCGGTATCCACTACTCAATCGAGGAAGAAGACGGTTAATATAATTCCCCCAGCGTTTATCTGTGTTGGTTATAAATGGCGAGACGCAAAGGCCTGGCACCTTTCATTCTTCGGGCAACTGCGACCGCTAAAAACGCGGCATTGACAGCTTAAGGATCACCTTTTACCGCCCCAAACAACCCTGGGTCGGAAGTCTAAGAGTGAACCACGGGTAGGCCGCGGCTCCTGGTAATATTATTTTAAGGATACCCCTTTAATGTCAATTCTTTAGCCATGGATTTTAGTTAAGTTTTTTACATCTCTTATTAAGGTCGTACTTTTGAGAAGTACTCATATGTATGTATGTATTTCTTCAGCATCTTTAATGGCTCCCACTTTCGCCTGAAAAACGCTGCAACAGTCTGCAAGCCTAAGCCTATGGTGTCATAGTCTTTACTTTACTTTAGACGAGAGGCCTCATCTCTTACCAATAGCTCCCACCAATGTTAAGCTTCGAGGACAGTTTTAGTCACCAAGCTTAGGTAACCTTGGGTCAGGCTATATAGCATACCCGTGTAGGTAACCTCTCGACAGCTTCTCTTCTCCAGTCCCCCTAGTTACATAGTAGCTAACGACCAAGATCCAGAGCCGCTGTTCACTCTGCGCTACAAGCAGTTGCCGCCGCACTCAGCCGCGGTTTTCGGACCTTATATTATTATAACAATCTAAACTTTACATATACGATCCTGAGGAATCCCATTGCTTATGTAAATTTGTGCAATTCAATCTTCAAACTTTGTCTTCAGCGCAAGCGAAGACAGACTGATTGAACCGAAGTGCCAAGGTAAAATACGGGAGCACTATCCGGCTTTCAGCATAAACTCCTCCCTCACGATTCTTCAAGTTCTGCGGACACATCCACTCTTAATGTAGTTGGCCCATACATAGTCTTTCCAGTTGTATAGATAAGAGGACTGGACCCTACAGACTTCAACTGCTGCGTACACAGCGGTACCTTGTCAAATATAATTGGATTATACTTCTTCTCTTGGAATGTCAGCAACGTCCTCCATGCAGGAGATTGACATTTCTGTCCTGGCTGCCAAGAGTAAGAAGAAATCGAGTGCGTCGAACACTGTTCGTGATTGATGGGCCGTAGGCTAAGTTATCTTCGTAAACACCTTTTCGGCAGATCTTCAGACTAAAGTTCGTCGAAAATCTGCGAACTTCAACGCTATGTGAAAGAAACTGTGTGGTTCTAGACGTCGACATCGAGCTAAAATGTCATCAAAAACTGCCTTTCGTGCCTAAGTTTGTTTTATTTAGTTTTTAATAAAATTTTTTAACTCACATGATTCCTTCAATGCGTTTTTCAAGATTTTTTTTTGTTTTTGGCTGGGATTTTTTTGTTTCATTTAATTTAGTTTTTTCTTATGTAAAAATAAGATTTTTTGTTTCTTTTTTATTCCTTAATTTTTATATTCAAATCTTTTCTTGAATTTTATATTTTGTATTAATTTTATTTTTTATGTTTATAGTTTATTTCATAATTATCTCATACTTCTCGTTTTTCCCATATTTTTTATTTGTTTGATATTTTTTATTTATTATATTTTCATCTATTAATTTGTTGTTTTCATTTTATAATTTGCTTATATTTTTACATTTTGGTTTATTTTTGTAGTTTTTTAATTATTTTTAATTATGATTTTTTATTTGTTTTTACTTGTAATTTTTTTTTTATGTCATTATTATATTATTTTATTTATTTTTATTTATCTTTTGTTTTTATTCCATTTTGTTAATATTTACATATTTTAATTTAAAAGTTAATTTTTTTATTGCTTAATGTTTTTGCTTTATTTTATTTTTTTTATCTTTTAATTTTATTTTTTTACTTCATGTTTTTTTTTTTAATAAAATTTATAATTTTTTAGCTTTCATTTTATATCAATATCTACTTTTATATTTATCAATAAACAACGTTTATTCCCCTCCTTTTTTATTAATATTCGACACGTCGTCTCTCCTAGTTTTAAAATGCTTACGTCTATCCGATGACTCGGTTACGTTAGAGCTGCGTCGTGGTAAGTAGTTCCTTCCGAATCCCTCCTGCCATTTTAATCACTAATACTCTCAACGCTATTCTGCCTACCATACCAACCGTAGATCCCAAATTGAAGGCGCGACTCAAAGAACAGGTGGCCAATACGAAAAATCCCCATTACGAAGACATCGAACCATCACCGCACATTTACGACTACAAAGCAGCCAGTTGTCGATCGCCCACTTCACACCATCGCTCGTTGTCGCTGCAGGACTCTTACGAACCGCCACACAACAGCAACTCCAATTCATCGTCTTCGCCTGCGATACGTTACGCCAAATCGCCCACGCACTTGCCACACCGTCAAGGTTCGCTGCCAACGCCTGCGACGGCCAGCCAGCAACAGCAGGGTAATCATAGTCGCAGCTCTTCCGCCTCGTCAGCCCAGCTACAGTTTGGTGATACAAACGCTTCGGTAGCGGCTGGTGGTGGAAACGCAGGTGGTGCCACTTGCACATCGCCCACAAGTCGTCCTTCGCGCATTCCAACCGCTTTGAAAGCACCACAAAAGCCAACCGTGCTGCATTCGCCACAGCATAAACGACCGCGACCATCGCAAATTCCAACGAAGGCCGGTCCCGCGGGTGCTGTGGCAGCTACCAACGGCAACGCGCCGCCAAGCGGCAACGCGACGCAATCGTCTGTGCCTCCAACGGGCGGAAGTGGAAGTGCGCATTTGCAACATTCGAACAGTTATAGCGGCAATAGCACACGTTTCACGCAACAACAAATAGCGGCGCACCAGAAGGAACGCGACGCTGAGCCAAACTCTGCGCCGCCGCAGCCAGCGAAGGCGCCACGTTTCGAGGCGTACATGATGACTGGCGAACTGATACTGAATCTATCGAGAACTTCGCAAAGTAGTAACCTACTGCCAGGACACGCAAAAAAGGTACGTCTATGCTGAGTGCGATATCTCGTCTTCAAAAAGATTGAATTATTTGTTTCTCTTACCCTATCCATAGATCGATAGCTTGCGTGACTCACCACAACGTGCGGTCGTGGCTGCGCGCGCTAACGGTGCCCTTGCGCCTCGCGCCTCCGGTGAATCATCGCCCACATCATCCTCATCGGTGGATTCACCTACCCATACGGGCAGTTCGGAGTCGGCAGCCCACCATCAGAAAGATCGTGGCAAACGACGTCACCAACAACCGCATCACCATCTACTACAACAACAATTGGATAGCATAAACAACAGCTACAATAACAGTAATAGTGGTGGCGGAGGTGCGGGCGCTGTTGGTGCGACGGCCGATGATGCGCGCAAAGACGACACACTGTTGTTGTGTGATGAGTTAGAGCGTGACGACGAGGAGTTAGGAGGAGGCGGCGGTGGCGGCGGCACTGACAATAATCGCAGACAACGATATCACCAACATCAAGCACATTCAGCGCGACGTCATCAGTACAGTCACCAGCAACAGCGTAGCAGCTACGAGCACGACGAAGCCGCAGACATCGAGGAGAACGAGGAGGATCAAACGCACTACGACATCACAAACATCGAAACGTACAATAGCGGCGGCATAGGTGGTGGCGATGTGTGTGGCGATGATGATGCCAGCGATCGTCAGTGCCTAGTGACGCATTATGGTGACGACGAGGATGACGATGGCGACGAAGGCGAAGGTGAGGACTTCGATGCTGAAGACGAAGACGGTTGTGGGGCTGAGCACGAAGACGAAGACTACTCTTCGAATTCGCTCACATCGGCATCGGCAAAGCAACGTTTGCGTGCGTTAAAGCAAAAAGCTGCTGCTGCGCACTACAAACACGCACAAAGTGTGGTACGCGCTAGCGGTGGCGGTGGCGGTGGCGGCGCCGCCTACGATTCGGTCGATTGTGCGCGGCAACACTACACCGGCGGTTATAACCAACACCACCACCACCATCATCATCATCAGCAACAGCAACAGCATCCACATCAACACCGCAATCAGCAGCATCGGCAACAGCAACGCGGCTCAGGGGGCTCGACTTCCTCATCGGCGACGGTGAAAAGCGACGGCATGGCCGGCTTAAACACCTCACCCGACGAGACTTCATTCTCAGTGCCCACCTCGCCGATTTCTTTGTCCACCCCATTGATTGATAAGGACACGGCGAACTCAGTGCCCACCAGTCCGGAGCCATCGAGCCTGGGTGCAGTGGGCGGTGGCGGCGGCGGCGGCGCCGGTCATGATGGCGTGGTGCGGCGACACAATGGTGTTGTGCGTACATGCGATTCGGCTGGCTTTCGTACCAGCAAGTCGGAAGATCACTTGCAGCAGGTGCAACGTGAAGGTATGGCCGCTGTGATACCGATCGATATTGATGAGGATGTGAATAGTTCGCTGAATACACTGCTCGATACGAGACAAGACTCTGAAGACTCGCAGGTAAGTCGTGGGCAAAAAAGGGGATTGGATTAAGAGCGGGTTAATTGTATTGATAGAGCTGTTGAATGGGAGAGGGTGAAAAAGGATTTGCGAGGGTTCTAATTAAAATTGAAATTGAAAAGGATCGATTGTGTAAAATTTGGAATGTGGAAACAATGTCAAAATTGAGATTTCGAAAATTTAACATTTTCCCAATTATTTACATATCGTCAGTGATACTGTAAAACGCTGTATATGATTGCTTCTGGCAATCGTTCATCTTCATCAGGCAAAGGTAGACAGTTTTGTCATTCGTTTATTAGGGTGTACCGATTTGCAGATGCATTCCGGTGCAAGTAAGAGACCATCAAAAGTGTCAAGTGTACTAATAGTTTTGCAGTATCGCCGACGATATGTATAAAAGAAAATTTTAAAATTATAGAAAAATGCTAAAATGAGCTTCCTATTTTTAGAATAATTATTTGACAAACTATACAGCATTTTTACGAAATTCAAAAAAATTATATTTTGTACCAAAATTAAATTTAGATTCTAAGTTTTGTATAAAACATATTGTCGTATTAATTAATGTGAAGTGGTGTATTAGATCCGAGTTCGTTTTGTTTTTAATACATAACAAAATTGTGTTCCTCTAATGGTTGTCTACAGAAAAAAAATAAATAAAATTGATTCGATAGTAATTTTATTGTACTCTGCTTATGATTGTTTGTATTGCTTAAATTATGAAGGAATTATTGCTTGTAAAATTATACTATTTGTTGTTTTTGTTGGTAGTTTGTTGACGCATTTGAGCAGCTGTAACGAATTTGTGTGAAAAGAAACCTAAAATTATTTTATTTTTATCTGTGTAGTAGCGTTGTTAAATTTTACGATTAGTATAATTTTATTTGCATTAACATTGATTCGAAATTTATTATCTACTTCTAATTGTCTAATTTCATTCTAAGTCATTTCAATTTGTTGCAAAATACACATCTTAAGCTGCTTTGTTTTGTTTTAGACACAAATCGTTTTTATATTTTCGAGTGTGAATTTGTTTTGAATAGCTTAACGTTGTTTAGATCTAATAACTTAAGACAAAAGAAAACTTATCATATTTTAAAATACATTTATGGAATGTTTATCAGGAGATCTTAAATTATGCTGTATTTTTTTTTTTTAACCGAGCTTTCAACCGCTTTATTGAAATTTGATATGTAATCATTACTAAATTCCTGCGCAGTAGAGTACGTATACTTAGATTAGGTTTAACTTGTCGTCGAAAAGCTTAAGCGTGAGGCTCTGTGTGATACCGCAGTTTTTCTATGTTTAATCCTGGAGCTTATACCAATTTGTGGTAAGCTTTAATAGTGAACAATCTAGCAAGGTCAGAGTGATAGCCAGTAATCGTCTAGCAAAGTATTTCGTTTGTTTTGGCCCGTCGATGAAGTCGTCACTGTAATGCACTGAGAGAACTCCAGCTGGCAGCGAAGAGCGCCGGCGTATACATATGATTCTTCAAGATCCGCCTTTTTGCCTGATTTCAGCAAGGGGGTAGTCCTACCCGTTTTCTAAATCACAGGCATGATCAGGAAGGACAGTGACTCGTTGTATTCGACTCTCGTAGGCAAAGTTTCTTCTGCATTACAGGCCGATTATAAGTAAATTTCAAAAAGAAATACATATGTATTTAAATAAAAGTGTTTAACAAAAATACGAAAAATCATAAAATCATTCAAAAATAAAGATTAAAAAATTTTTGAAAATTTTATACTACGTATTAAAAAAAAAATATTAAAAATTATTTCGGTTATGATAAAACAATTTAAAACTTAATAAACATACATATATCAAAGATTAAAAGATTTCAAAACTTATTTAAAAACTTGTGTTTTTTATTTAAACTTTAATAGAATTTAAAGATTTATTTTATTTAAGGTAAATTTTTCAATAAGCAATTTATTTCACCGTGGTTAAAGATTTTTTTTTAAAAAAGTAATAAAAAATTACATACTATTTCAGAACCAATTTCCGTGATTTCTTGTCAAGTTTGCTTTGGTTACAAACAGGTTTCGCTGCTGTGCCCATCTTCAGTGCGTTTTTCGAAAAAAAACTGATGATGGAGATTCATCTTCCCACTTTGTCGGAAAAATTAACCAACAAAAAAATAACACTTCCTTTAATGATTTTAGTAATAAAGAAATCGAATAAAATATTGATACATGTACGTTTTTTAATAAACGAGTTTTAATGTGAATTTTTTCGTAGAAAACTTTAATAGCATTTTTAATAAAACAATTTCATTAAGATGAAAAAGAGAATTTTGAAAATTTTTACTAAAAGGTTTTTCCAAACACATTTTTTGTATAGGTGAAGTTTTAACCAAAAACAAAAAAGTGATGCAAAATATTTCACCCTAAAAAGTTTTTATTCAAAAATTAAAATTTATTGCACAAAAATTTTTAAGTCTCCTGATAACATTCCATATGCAACTGCGATGTACCTAATTATCATTTTTTATATTAGTAGTAAACTTTACGATTTTTATCCTCCTGTTGCTGTTTAACCATTAAAACTCTTACTCTACTTACTACTACTTTTATTAAAACTACTAATATTCCTACACTGTGTCTATGCCTCTCTCTAACGTTGTTATATATTTTTGTTTATATCTTTTCCTCTTTTTTCCACTCTCTTCTAAACACAATTACTTACCACTGTTTTATGTTCGAAATGCTTAAAAATGCCAAAAACATATTCGTACATACCGAACACACCAAACATACCAACTTACAATTCTTACACTCGAACCTGTTCTGTTTTGTTTCGCATTGGTTACTCCAACTCTTTTTGATGAGCTTTTAATTTTTCTTCGATTTTCATTTTGTGTGTGTGTTTTTTTTTGTCTGCTTTTTTTGTTCTGTCTTTGTCTTCCTGTGTATGTATGTGTGTGTCTTTTAGCCATCTTCAACTACTACTACTCCTACTAACCAACCAAAGAATAAAGCAACAATGAAGTCAAAAACAACAATAAAGCGTGGCTCCACTTTTTCACCAATCGCCTCATCTTCTATTTCATCAACGTCATCGCCATCCGCTTCTGCAATCGCATCATCAGCATCATCATCTTCGTCTTCATCGGCGGCATTAAAAACGGCGCTCTTGAATGCTGCCACGGCTGCAGCAGCAGCAGCAACAGCAGCAGCAGCGGCGGCTACCTCCTCTTCCTCGCCTACATCTTCGCCAACTCTGCTGCCATCATCGCCGGAGGCGACACTCCTCAGTCAACGCGATATCTTCAATAGGCGGCGGCGTAAAGTACGCATTAGCATACCGCGAATTGTGTTAATGGACGCAGAGACGGGTGTAGAAGCAACAACACCAACTGCAGGAGTGGGTGTGGGAGTGGGAGTGGGAGTGACAGTAGCAGCAGCGGCGGAAGAAAGTGTTTGCAACAATAACAATAATAACTACAACAATACTAATACACTAACAACTATAAATGATATTGCCACTACTAATACCAATACAACAACAACAAGCAATACTGATACCGCTGTTAGTAATGCAGCATTCTCTTCAACTACACCAACTATTGTTACTACTTCTACAATAACAAAAACAACAACAACAACTGCATGTACTATGACAATAATAAAAACTGCAACAATAATAACCACAACCAACTCAACAATAACAACAACAACAGCTGAATATGCTTTTAAAAAGGTTGAGCATAATACATACATACGTACTCGTACATATGTACATAAATAAACAGAGATTGTAGCGTAAAGAAAAACTACAAAAAAAAAATATATTTCATACATATTTTTACTGTTAAACAGTGTAGTTGCTGTAATTTGCTTCATCAAATCGTTCAGAAACATTTTAAATTATTTGTTGTTGCTATATTTATATAATTACCTGTACTTATTGATTAGCGCATGCGCTTAGATCTACATAGATTCATAAGTACATACATATATACATTGTTTTACAAGCATTTACTGTAGTTTAGCAGTAGTTGTGTTTATTAGACATGTTAAATATTTGCGGTTGTATTTAGTTCGAAAATCGTATTCATAGAGCTTGCGCCATTACAATTTTAAACAGTTGAAATAAGAAGTGGTACCTATTTCATTTTTAGTACATTCTTCATTACTCTTTTTCAAATTTAACCAAATCAGCCAATATTGCATACTCGAAATGAAGAGACAGTCAGTGTCAATTGTTAGTATACACCTTCTTCTGATATATTCACAATTATTTTCATCAGCAATTTTTTCATTAATTACACAGGCCAAATCAAATTTAAACAATGTTATTTTGACTAAAGTATTACAGCCGTTTCTTATAGGATTTTTCCCGTAGAATCCGAATCTGACCCTAAAGATATTAGATCGGCTCAAGTTTTCCAACGTATTCGCATACAAAAATTTCCAACTGCTTTCAGTGTTAGGACCCTAATTTTTTTTAATTTTGAGTAGATATAAAGTTCACATTTAAGAAAAAAAATCACAAAAATTTCAAAATTCTTATTCAGAATTTCGAGAAAATTTTTGAGTTTGCATTATCGTAGTCCGTTCAGTTTTAGTAAGTAAATTTCAAGTCGCTAAAACTTACCGTTGATTTTTTTTTTTTTTTGTGGAGGGTGTTGCTCATTTTCGTCCAAATAAAAATATATTTTGATCATGCTTTTCTGAATTAATTTTTTACATTTTTATGAAATTTTTTTGAATATCTTTGAACTTTATATACAGTGTGAAACTTTGATGTATGTATATTGTTGAGGTTATAGAATAAACTAAATAATCATAGATAATTAATGAAAAAAAAAATGACATCAAAATAAATATTAGTATATGTATTATACTAACATTTGACACTGACTGACGTACAGGAAAAAAGTTTGCCGTACACGCCTGCGTCTAAAGTATTTGGCAAGGCAATTTCGAAAAAAAAAAAACATTTTTTTTGGGTCGCCTTTTTTACATATTTTATTATAACTTCCGCATTTGTCGGTTCTTAACGTATGATGTATCAATGTTTTTGTCTCGATCCCCATTACCCCATTCTAGTACCAGCCCACAAGATTTCAATTCTTATCACCCTAATGTAGCACCCTAATGACAGTAAATTAAAGCTCCTCATAAATTATTGGCGAATGTAGGTGTCCCCGAAAAATGCAACACCTAGGCTCTGGTGGTTTTATTTAAGACCGAGATGATGGACAACAACAACAACTTTCCGATATCCCCTATAGTAGATCCTGATATATCTGATAGTTTTGTTTGTATGTATCTTCCGAATGCTTTATGCCTAACATCCGCTAGAGCTGTGCATTCACAAGGAAAATCCTGGACACTTTCTTCGCTACCTTCTAGTTTATAGCCACAAGTTCTATTATATGGGAGCCACATTCTCTCTGCTGCATGTTTGTCTATGGGCTACAATTCTAAATACTTCTGCCCTTGGTCTGTTAACCAGGCCTAGTGTCTTCGTTCTGTTATAGAGGCCTGGCTATTATCTTTGAACTACTCCGAGGGGGCACTGCAGTGCAACAGCCTCGGTTTCCTCCAACTAGGTTCCTGCCTTCGTCAATTCATCGGCATTCTCATTTCCTTCAATGTTCCTATGGCCGGGAATCCTGACAAGAGAGACGCTTATTGACGCAGACGAGAGGGTAGCGAACTAAAAAATCGTCAAGGAAATGTTTGACACCTGCAGGAAATGTTTGACACCTGCAATACATCTCGTTGGTCTTTTGCAATGGCGGCCGCTGTGGGGTACTGGTTGGCAGCGCGCGCTACCGTTCCGCAGGGCCTGGGTTCAATACCGGTTCAACCCAACATCAAAAAATAAAAAAACAAAATTTTTTTTTTCTAATAGCGGGCGCCCCTCGGCAGGCAATGGGCAAACCTCCGAGTGTATTTCTGCTGTGAAAAACAGCTGCTCATAAAAATACAATCTTCGTTCGGAGTCGGCTTAAAACTGTAGGTCCCTCCCCTTTGTATGACAACATCAGATGCTCGGCCAAACAAAAACATACATATGTGGGAGCGCCAATCTATTATTATTATTATTATCGATATGTACATACAGTTATGTGAAAAATAATAGGGACACGAAATTTTGACCAGTTTTGACAATTTTCCTTCTGTTCGTTTAATGTTTATTATATTTTTATAAAAGTGCATCTCAATGTCTAACAAAAACCACATCTAAGTCTAAATTTCAAACTGTGTAGAAAAATTTTGAAAAATTTTACAACGAACTTTTTATTAGGAATTTTTAGAAAAATTCCAAGCATGCAGTTTTATAGCCCATTAGGTTCTAGTTTAATAAAGTGCAAGTTTCAAGTGGTTAAGAATTCGCGTTGAGTTTTGATAATTTTTATTGCCAATGTTATTATTTTCTTCCAACCAAATAAAATTTGTTGACCATAAAAAAAAATCAAATGCATTAGCCAACAATAAAAAATATAACCAAAACTGGTCAAAGTGTCGTGCCCCTATTATTTTCCACATGACTGTACCTCTGTCCTATAACTACAATTATTTTTGTTTTTTATAAAAAAAAAGCTTACAACAATAACAGTTGTTATATTACGCAGCGCTAGATGCATACATACATACATATATAAAGTTTTATTTGATAAAAATTTCTGCCTTCGATATTTTTTTGAATCATCAATCGAAAATAAAAATACATTTTTATCAAAGTGTTAGAAAAAAACTTCACTCAACTTAGTATTTACTTTTCAATTTCTGTTTGTAAATAAATAATAATATAAGAAGGCAAAACAATCGATTATTGTTAGCTAAAAAATACTAAACAATTTAGCATTTAGACTTGAATAGGTAGCAACAGCCAGACTACGTTCTACTCTCAGCTATTTTATCGCTTAGTTTGCTAATTCATATTTTTATTTCTCGCTCTCTTTTTCACTCTCTTTCGTTCGCGCGCAACTCTCACCGCTGCAGGGCTCCAATCGTGATCGCATCGTTTGGACTTATAACGCACCGCTGGCGCCACACCAAATACAACAATTGCAGCAACAGCAACAGCTGCAGCAACAACTACAACAGCAACAACAGCAGTATTCCAGCGCACACTATGGCGGCGGTGGTGGCGGTGGCGGTGGCGGCCACAACAATTCATCGCCGAATTCGCAGTCACATTCACACTCCCATTCGCATTCGCATTCACATTCGCATTCGCACTCGCATTCGAGTTCGATAAGTTCATCGCCACAACATTCAGCCGGCAGCCCTGCCTCACCTACATCTGTGTCCAGTTCGGTGATGTCATCGTCCGGTTCGAAGGGTGCGCTTGGCATAGGTGGCGCCTATGCGTTGAGCAGCAACAACAATGGCGGGCAACATCAGCAGCAACAACAACAACAGCAGCAACAACAACTTCAACTGACAGCAAATGCAGCTAATGGCGGTACAAGTGGCGGCACCAGCGCAACCACGGCCACAACGGCTTTGCAAATGGGTTTGTTACAATGTCCTACTGGTAGTGGTAGTGGTAATGGTAGTGGTGGTGGTGGTGGTGGTGGTGGTGGTAATAATAGTCTTGCAGGTGGTGCCGGTTGCGACCAGAGCGTCTCCGAAGCCATCTCGAATATTTCTAGTCCCGACTATCAGGACGATGATAATTTATTGAGTTCTCGCGATCTTGCAGGCGGCATGGTACTTAGCGATCCCAGTGATTCGGATTCAACCATACTCGTGTCTGATACGGCGGCAGCAAGGCAAAAGCAGCAACAACATCATCAGCTACAACAGCAAGCACAAGCGCTACACCAACAACAATTGCAACAGCAGCAGCAACACCAACAGAAGACTGCTGGTGGTCAACAACAGAATTCCGAACAGCATAAACTAGTGATACAGGTGCGTGGCATCGATACCAGCAATAGTGCCTCAACACGTTCAGCCTATTCCGAACTGAANCCAACAACAGAATACCGAACAGCATAAACTAGTGATACAGGTGCGTGGCATCGATACCAGCAATAGTGCCTCAACACGCTCAGCCTATTCCGAACTGAAAGACTCCGAGGATGAATTGGCTACGTTGACGGATGAGCCATTGAACACCGTATTGACGGTGGCGGGCAGTGGCGATGGTTTCGGCGGCACCGGTACGGGGCGAGATTCATCGCCACCCGTTTCAGATGATGGCAGCGATGTGGAGTCGTTACATTCCTATCATTACTCACCAAAGGCCGTAGATATGCCGTCGGCAATACGGCTGGCCAAAAGACTGTACTCCCTGGATGGTTTCAAGAAGAGCGACGTGTCGCGGCACCTCAGTAAAAAGTGAGTTGTGTAAATGTGCTTAATTAAAAGCTCATAGTTTTAGGGGCGGTAGGATTTTCAATTTAAAATGTTGCGTTTTATGTTTGTTCTTAGCAACGACTTTAGTCGCGCCGTCGCCGACGAATACCTAAAGTATTTCAGTTTTGAAAAGAAAACGCTTGATCAATCTTTGCGCGAGTTTTTGCAACAATTCTCGTTATCGGGTGAGACGCAGGAGCGGGAACGCGTGTTGGTACATTTTTCGAAACGCTTTTTGGACTGCAATCCGGGTACATTTAATTCGCAAGGTGAGTACTATGACATAGGAAAATACTGTTTTATTTTTTCACACGGGTTAGACAAGAACTTGCATTTCTAACCTGAAAAATAATTTCATTAAGTTAACTAGAAATCTTCAAAATCATTGACATATTGGCAGTCTGTAAAAGTTTCGAGACTTTCTAGTCTAAAATAATACCTCTATAACTTATGAGAAGATCAAGAAGTCCGCTCAAGGAGCGTCGAGTGATCAGAAGGCTACAGAAACTGGCAGAAACTAGTGGGACTTCTACTTACGTCAACGGTCAAGTTCGAATGGCTATCGAAAAGTCAAAAGTCTCCAAAGCCTTTGAACCCCACGGAATATGCATGCTGATGCTGTAGAGAATTTATCCCGCTGGATGGGTAAACTACTTCACCAACGTCTTCAATTAATAAACACTCAGACAATTCGTGCCTTTAACTTTAATTATTTGACTTTCAAGGACCTGGTTTCTACTTCTAAATTTTTTAGCTTGCCATACAGAAAATATTTCAGAATAGTTATTGATAAGCTTACCTATCGGCTTTTGTTTTCGCCTTATGGTACAGCTACATTGTTTTATTTCTCCCTCGCGCTTAATTTTTTGTCTCCGAATGGATGACTTCCTTGCGCAAAGGTTGGTGGCAATTCGCTGTTTAGCATCGTGGCAATGATCAACATTTAATAGAGTTCAGATTATGAACACAACACCATCACCAGGGCTTGCTTTCTTGTTGTCGAAAAGGTATTAGTTGAGAAAATTAAGCTAGGCGCTAAACAGAATGTGGTTGCATTTCCAAATTTGTTGTTTTTAAATTTTTCTCCATTATCACTAATGCCTGTTTTCATTTCTAAATATAAATATATCCTTTATGTTGTATTATATTTCCAACAGATGCTGTACATACTTTAACTTGCGCTATTATGCTGTTGAATACCGATTTGCATGGCCAGAATATCGGACGTAAAATGACCTGCGCTGAATTCATTGAAAACCTGGCGGAACTCAATGATGGCGAAAATTTTCCCAAGGACGTTTTAAAGTATCTTTATCAGGCTATTAAGACTCAACCGCTGGAATGGGCGCTGTAAGAAAATAATAATCTTTATTATTAAAATATTATCATTAGACCTGCATACATATTTTCATTTAAAATTTCTACATTTTACATTTTCCAGCGACGATGATTCTGCTGAACTGCAAAAGCAACGCGCCGACAATAATGTGGGCAATAGCACAAGCAACAGCCTAATCGGACAAAATCCATTCTTAGACATACCAGAGTCGTCATCGGCGATTGAATACAAAAAAGGTTATGTGATGCGCAAGTGCTGTTTCGATTCCAATTACAAAAAAAGTAAGTAAATGTCTGAGATTATTTATTTATTATATGTATATATATTTTTTAATGCATAATTAGATAACATCGTCGAATATATCGATATCGACGATGAGAGTAAAATGAATATGCGAGTAAAAATAGCGAAAGCGATTGCAATGAGTCTTGTCGAAAAATATGTCCATAATTATTTCGATAACAACACCGATTATTATGTGAATTGATAAGGGTGCTAAAAATCGAATTTATCGATTATCGCTTGCAATTTCCAGAAAATAAAGTTAATGATTAGCTCTCATATTCTTCACTTTAAATAATAATTCGATATTTAAAATATTCATCGATGAATATGCCAAAAAATATATATCATCGTTTAATGTGCAAAACTGCGAATAAACATAATGCAAAACCGCGTATATGAGGCGTAAATTTTACAGGAAATAATAAAAACTGCAATCTTATTCTAAAACGGTTCTCTCTTTTATGAAACAAAGCCATTTGAGGCTATTTATTTATATCGATATTTTAGTATGAATGGATAAGGCTTAATGCCAGAAGCTTCCGATGAGCAAATCTCATTTTTGGCATAAATTTTTTCATTTTTGGTTATAAATGTTAGTTACGCGGCTTTACACTTTAAACGACGACATGTATGTATATGATAATATTTATGAAGAGTAATAATAGATGTATCGATAGAGGTATAAGTAAAATATACCAATGTCGTTCCCACGATAGTCGGGTCTACGTAACCGGAACGACCCAGATTTATATCTGGCCAAGGACTGTCACTCCAAAAACCCTATGGGAAATTTGTATACTGCTACAACAACAACAACCATATATCTGTAATAATATCGATTAGAGGATCATTAAGTTATTTGATAAAGGTATCAAAATATACCTAAACAGAGACTGCATATTTTGTTTATTTTTTATGTAGTCCATTACTAGGATACTTAGTCAAGATAGTTCATAAAAAACGGCATATTTGTTATCTTTCTTTCATTATTTCGTACCATATTATTTGAATATTTTTTCCGCTTTTAGCACCCTTCGGTAAGCGTTCCTGGAAGATGTTCTACTGTACACTGCGTGATTTAGTGCTTTTCCTGCACAAAGACGAGCATGGCTTTCGTAAAAGTCAGGTGGGTGATGTCGCTCATTTAACCTTATAAGAACGAATCATTTTTTTTTTCATATTTAAATAAATTCCACAATCTTTCAGATGTCCGATAATCTGCACAATGCAATACGCATTCATCACGCTTTAGCCACCAAGGCCACCGACTACACTAAAAAACAACACGTTTTCCGATTGCAAACCGCCGATCAAGCTGAGTATCTATTCCAGACTAGTGATTCCAAAGAGCTGCAATCGTGGGTGGAGACGATCAATTTCGTTTGTGCCGCCTATTCAGCGCCCCCACTGGAGGGTGGTGTGGGTAGTCAAAAACGTTTTCAACGACCGCTGTTGCCCAGCACGCATACAAAGTACTTGATGGTGGGTAGACATGCATAATTTTTTTTTTTTTTTTTTGTTAGCAAAAACAAAGTTATAAATATTTTGTTTCACTTTATTTCGCAAGCAGAAAGAGCAATTAGAATCGCACGAACAACAATTGTCTCAATTAGAGGCTGCACTCGCAGATCACAAGAAAGGGCCCATACCAAACAAAGGACTGCCACTACAGAATTATAAAGAAAAAGAAAACTACTTGCAATATGAGGTGAGCTATTTGCATGCGAACGTATTTCTCCTGTACACTCCACACATAAACATCATAAAAATCTTTCCGTTTAACAGATACGCCGCTATCGTGCTTATGTGTCAATTTTAGCTGCTAAGCTACTTGCCGACCAACAGCAATTGGAGGCTGCGCAACAACAACAACAACAATTAACAAGCAACGAAGAATTGGATAAATTTTCCACGAGTGGTGGAGGTGTGGTAGGCGGAGCTGTGATTGGTGCGCGGCAACAGCAGCCGCCACCAGCGTATCCACAACAATTGCAATTACAACAACCGACTGCACAGTCACCAACAGCACAACAACAGCAGCAACAGGCACAGCCACAACAACAACAAACTTCAAACAGGTATAATTATCAGCAACAAGATATTGGCTGACGGGTAATGGGAGTTTTCTCAGCTTGTGTGGTTTAATTGTATTACAAAGTCTAGCCCCGCTCTTTTTATCTTTTTTATATTGGTTTATTTGTTTTTGTTTTTTTTTT